GCGAAGTCGAGCACTTTACGGTAGCACAGTTTAACGAGGACCAATACCGCACACCCTCGGTCCCTACGCAGACTGATCCAAGTGGTCACCCACCCGCACACTGACCGTAGCCAGTGATGCTTGACTTCGGTGATCTGCTGGGAACCGTGTCTTAACGATCAGTCCACTGCGGGACTGGCGCTGCCCTATAAAAAAATTAAATAATAGTTGTATGAAGAAACATCATTTGTAGGGAGAACGTGGTTTGGCAGAAGTACAAACTAGTAGGCATCTGTGCAACCATTTCAGCTCGAATTGTCTGGATTATAGCAGAATGCATTCTTTTAGTTTTTACCCAGTCAGCAGCGCCATCAGGTAATAAATTTTGTAACTAATCTTAGGAGTTATAGATAAAAAGGAATGAAAATCTGGTCTTCTAAGAATATGACGCCCCTCGTAAACAGAGACAAAAGTAAGGTATTCACTGGAAATTTTCAATACTCCTTTCCGGTTTTAAATTCTTGTTATTGTTTGCACTAAAGTCTCCATTACAGTTACAAGGTTAAACATTTTTATCATGTATTAAAACTTTAACAAAATGTTAAAGCATAAACTTTTCTTAAAGCACAAATGTTATTAATATTTTACAATTTATTTCTTAATTTAAAGCGATGTGCTATGAAAAAATTAAACAAAAACATTTACCTTTAGGAGTTGTGGTTTCAACTATCCCATCCGTCGTCATTTTGTCATCTGAAAAAATAATTTTTTTGTTTTACGAATGAGGTAGAAAGATGACTTTGACACAATTCTAGAGATGGAATAATAATATTAAAAAAATTATGCATAAAGTATTTTTTTTACTAAAGCACAGTTGGCAAAATTTGTTTCAAAATAGATGTTTTTAGTTAAATTTTGTTTTACTTATAGAAAATTTATTTCAAACGAGCAAATTAAATAAAAATTGTGCACAAGGAATTTACATATATAAAACTAAATGGAATTTTGAAAATTTAATCTTAAATGAAAAATAAACTAGTATAAAAATTAATCTGTAATCACTAATCACAGCCCATAACATATATTTTAGAAAACTTTTTAAAAATAAAGTGAAAAAACTTGCACAGTTCAGAGAGATCATAAATAAATATTTAAACAAGGAGAAAACACAAACACTTTATCAAAATTCTTTGAAACAAAGCAGGATTAGAAAAAAAAATGAAAACCAATTGATTTGAGGAAGCTTAAAAGTGTTTCAAATAAGCATTTTTAACTACTTCGCTGTTTCCTCAGGATAACAAACAAGTTTTTACGCTTTTAATCTATCATTCATCGTTAATAATTCAAGAAGTTTCGATTTTCGTTTTTATGGTTCAACACTAACTTGCGACCTTTGCTGAAGATATTTAACTGACTTCGTATTTGAAAAGGAATAAAAATCAGTGAGCGTTCCTTATTGAACACCATAAATGTCTCTTTTTAAACTCCTTGTCAAAGATGCATGAAAAATCCGTATTTTAGTGACGAAAAAATAGAAATTCGATTGAAATCTAACGAATCAATACTGAAGAAGGTGAGGTTAAAGACAACGAAACGGATTTTCTCGGCTAATGAAGCTTAGATGTAGTTTCGAATAATCAATTTTCAACTTTTCTCAGTTTGAACAGGGTAATCAATCAAGCTTAAGGCTTGTTTCCCACCTTGATGAGTCGTTTTATTTAGTTAAGGTTTTTTGTTTTTATTCTTTTCTTAAATATGGCTTTGTAACATTCAATATTCATGCTTTTTGTCTTCCTTTTGTTTTGGTTATATTAATACAATATCAGAAAGCACTCCTTTCCGTGGATATGATCGTGTGAACTGATGAAGAGATTATATCTTTACATTTTTTGTTTTCTAATTTAGTATTTATTATTCCTTAAATATTTTTTAAAAATATTGTACTTTAATAATTTTTCTTCTTCTCATTTAATTAATCTTTATTATTTTCAACCTTTTCTTTATATTTTAAACTTATTTTATGAGATCTATATGCTTGCAGTTTAGGCGCAATAAATAAAACTTATTAATTTTCTTCCTTTTTCTCTTTTTTCTTTTATCCCTCTTGTCTTTATTTTTATATACATGTATATATGTACATATATTAATAATTCTAAAGTTGTCTAAGACCACATATTTAATTTATTTATAGTCTCGCTTTTGAAAAGCGTTTCCACAAAACGAAATAAATTAAAACCAACGGCAAATTGAAATAACAAAACAGTAATTGAAAACTAAGCCAATGTTCCAAAATTCAGAATTAATGATAAACGATACTTATAAGTTCAAGGGAACTGCACATTATTTTTCACACACAAGGAATAACACATTATTTAGCTATACTACTTCGTATCATTGTAATTTTGAACCCAATCCAGAAGACAATGGAATTGAGGGCTATACCACTCCCCTCGAAAGGAATAAATATCGTAGAAAATCGTTTGCCTGTCGTAAATTGTGACTATTATGAGTTGGTTTTGAGCAACAGAGTTATAAAAAATGATTCTAAATATAGTTTATTTTCATTTTAATGTGGAAAACGTCTAGAAAAAAAAAATAAAGTTTTTTTTTTAATTTATTTTTTATTTTTTATTATTTTTTTATTTATTTAATAACGTTAAATCCCCTGTAAGGAGAACAAATAATAATAAATTTTAAGAAAATGGAATTATTAAGTTCTTCAGCAGTATATTCGTAGTCTTTTGCATTATTTTGTAATTTTTATTAATACCGTTTCATTGTTAGTTTTCTCTTTTTCCCCCCTATAAGAAAAACGGGTATTTACCTAGTATATTCTATAAAAGGAGAAATAGGAATTTGTTAAGTGCAATGAAAAAATATGTAGAAAAACATATAGCTGAAGACAAACTGTGTCCAACATTATTCAATTTAAAAAAGTATGTTTTTTCTGATTAAAAAAAATTAAGCGATGGCATAGTATTTGAAAAAAAAAAGTAAAGTTGTTCATTTTTAGAAATAACATTCGAGAAAAATATATGTATACTTCATTGAATAATAAAAGCATACTCGCTTGATCGCTAAATATTACAAAATATTTAGTCCTTAGTTATTTCGTAGTGGCACCTTAGCAGGATGAATACTTAAAACATCCCGTAAAATGACTCACCTAGGGTTCCTCAAAGTTTAGCGAGCTGGAATTAACGAAAATATTGTAAACATTTGTATGCTCACAGAAAGAAAAAAAATCTTTCATTACTTGTCGGTCTTTTCCTTGATCCACAATTCACTTCCCCGTCTGGTTTACACTGTTTTTTGACTCCGTCAAAAAGAAAATTATTTCCACATGTTCTCAATTTTGGAAAAAAGAAAGTGCATTGGTAGTATTTGGAACAGTCATTTGGATCAGGAAAATATCCCCCGAAGCTTGGACACTCGAATGGAGCATCTGTAACATACAAAAAATACACTAATTATCTTAAGAGTATATTTTTATATGAGCTGTGCCGAACATTTATATAGAAAACTATTTGTTGCTCAGGTTTTGTGTACAAATGTGATTTTCGAAATTTTTCCAGAAACTGTATTAACAGTTTTAAATTAATTTCAGTGTGCTCAAGTGCATGAAAATGTAATGTTTGGCATTTACTTATTTTTATGGCAACAACGACAGTAATATAGTTAATACAGCTGAAATTTTAAGAGAACGTCATATTTTAGTTTCGATATTAAGTAGGAAAATTCCGTACAATAATATATTTTTTTGACGAGTTTGATAGAATATTGGTGATCGAAGTGGGCTACACGTGGCGTAGAGCAGAACTCTCTACTCATGGCAACAATTCACATGCTTTCATCATTAGCGTATGGAGAGTCATAGGAGAAGGGAGTACTTCAGTTTGTCTCTCGATTTTCAAATAGATTAAAATCTTAAGTTAGGAAACTTTATGGTACTGAAAACTACATTGAACATAGTTCTGAAAGAAAAAAAATAAAAAAAATATTTGTGACAGTTAAATACGAAAAATATTAAGAAAATGGAAAATATCGTAATATATTCCTGTACAACTGCGAAATGGAGGAGGGGGAACGGAGTACGTTTAAGACATGGAACCGATCTTCTCACCAGGTGGCGTATTCGAGAGTTGTGATAGCAAATAGTGGTTTATTCAAGCCTGAATGAGTCCTGTATCAAAAATGACTTTTGATTTGAAAATCAATAAAGAAACAGACAGATATGCAAGATTTGTTTTTTTTTTCTGATCTAAATGTGAGATTTATATTTTCACTGAAACTCAAAATTAGTTCCACAATTCGATGACGGATGGCGCTGCCCTATAAAAAAATTAAATAATAGTTGTAAAAAGAAACATCATTTGTAGCGAGAACGTGGTTTGGCAGAAGTACAAACTAGTAGGCATCTGTGCAACCATTTCAGCTCGAATTGTCTGGATTGTAGCAGAATGCATTCTTTTAGTTTTCACCCAGTCAGCAGCGCCACCAGGTAATAAATTTTGTAACTAATCTTAGGAGTTATAGATAAAAAGGACTGAAAATCTGGTCTTCTAAGAATATATCACCTCTCGTAAACAGAGACAAAAGTGAAGGTATTCACTAGAAATTTTCAATATTCCTTTCCGGTGTAAGATTCTTGTTATTGTTTGCACTAAATTCTCCATTCATTTACAGTTACAAGGTTAAAAATTTTTGTCATGTATTAAAATTTTAACAAAATATTAAAGCATAAACTTTTTTTAAAGCACAAATGTTATTAATATTTTACAATTTATTTCTTAATTTAAAACGATGTGCTATGAAAGTTACTGTAATCACCGCTCATAACNTATATGTACATATATTAATATTTCTAAAGTTGTCTAAGACCACATATTTAATTTATTTATAGTTACGCTTTTGAAAAGCCTTTCCACAAAACGAAATAAATTGAAACCAACGGTAAATTGAAATAACAAAACAGTAATTGAAAACTAAGCTATGCTCCAAAATTCAAAATTAATGGATAAACGATACGTATAAGTTCTAGGGAACTGCACATTATTTTTCTATACTACTTCGTATCCTTGTAATTTTGAACCCAATCCAGAAGACAAGGGAACTGAGGGTTATACCACTCCCCTCCAAAGGAATAAATATCGTAGAAAATTGTTCGCCTGTCGTAAATTTCGACTATTATGAGTTGGTTTTAAGCAACAGCGTTATGAAAATTGATTCTATATATAGTTTATTTTCATTTTAACGTGGAGAACGTCTAGAAAAAAAAAGAAAGTTTTTTTTAAAATTTTTTTTATTTTTTGTATTTAATAACGTTCTATCACCAGTAAGGAGAACAAATAATAACAAATTTTAAGAAAATGAAATTATTAAGTTTTTCAGCAGTATATACTTAGTCTTTTGCATTATTTTGTAATTTTTATTAATACTGTTTCATTGTTAGTTTGCTCTTTTTCCTCCCTATAAGAAAAACGGGTATTTACCTAATATATTCTATAAAATGAGAAATAGGAATTTGATTAGTGCAATGAAAAAATATGTAGGAAGACAAACTGTGTCCAACATTATTCAATTTGAAAAAAAAAAGCTTTTTTCTGATTAAAAAAAATAAGCAATGCTATAGTATTTGAAAAAAAAAGTAACGTTGTTCATTTTTAGAAATAACATTCGAGAAAAATATATGTATACTTCATACTCGCTTCATTGCTAAATATTCATTGCACTTCATATTCATACTCGCTTCATTGCTAAATATTATAAAATATTTAGTCCTTAGTTCTTTCGTAGGGACACCTTAGCAGGATGAGAACTAAAAAGATCCCGTAATATGATTTACCTCACGGCTCCTCAAAGTCTAGCGACATGAAATTAGAGTAACTATTGTAAACATTTGTATGATTACAGGAAAAAAAAAACAAACTCTTCCATTACTTGTCGGTCTTTTCCTTGATCCACAGTTCACTTCCTCCTCCGGTTTGCACTTTCCGTCAAGTTTGCAATCATGGACTCCGTCAAAAAGAAAATTCTTTCCACATGTTTGCAAACGTGGAATAAAGAAAGCGCATATGTAGTACTTGGAACAGTCATTTGGATGAGGTAAAATTCCCACGAAGCATGGACACTTGAATGAATCATCTGTAGCATACAGAAAACACACTATTTACCTTAAAAGAATATTTTATAAAAGTTGTGCATGACATTTATACAAAAAACTATTTATTGATCAAGTTTCGTTTAAAAATTTGATTTTAAATGTTTTCAGAAACTATATTAACAGTTTTAAACTAATTAAATTGTTCTTGTGTGCATAAAAAATTCATGTTTTGTTTTCATTTATTATTATTGCATCAACGACAATACCATTGCTAATACAGCTGAAGTTTTTATTGTTCTAATTTCATGTTGTCATGTTCTAATTTCGATATTAAGTTGGAAAATTCTGTACAATAACGCCGGGATTGATATAATATAGTGGTTTAATCAAGTCTGTGCCTCGGGTGTATCTAAAAAGACCATTTATTTACTAATAAATAAAAAGGAAAACAAAATGGAAAACAAAATGGAAGTAGATAAATATGTAAGATATGATTTTTTCTGATCTGAATGCAAGATATATTTTCACAAAAGCTCAAAACTAGTTAAACAAATCGAGGATGGATGGCGCTGCCTTTTGAAAAAAATAAATATTTTAGAAAACCTATAATTTTAGCAACAACGATTTTTGGCCAAAATTCAAACTAAGCAGGCATCCGTGCAAGTATTTCAGTTGGAATAGTATAGTCTGAAGTGTAGCTAGAAGAATGCATTCTTTTAGTTTTCTCCCAGCTAGCAGTGTCACCTGGTAATGAATTTTGTAATTAGTCTTAAGAGTTACCTATAAAAAAGGAATAAAATTCTAGTTTACCAGAAATAAATGAGTAAATCGTATGGCTTTATGGTTTTCATTAATTGTTTTCTTAAATCACCGATAATTGTTTGGGACACCCCTTATCGAAATAGCACGTGATGCAACTAAAGGTGGTCTCCCCGTATGGATAAAGAGTTGTATAAAGTTACGTACAGGTGACGCGTGTGATTAAAATTCGTAATAAGACATGCGGGTTATTTCTTACTATTAATTTTTCGCATAAATTTCCCATCATCCTGCACTTTAATTATCCTTTTTCTGTTAACAATATGACTTGCTCCATTTAATTATTATTGTATTAGGGTTAAAATCTCTGCTGCCTCGGTAATTCTGTACAAGCAAAACGATTCCGTATCTTATTTGTATATAAAAAATAAACTTTCCTTTAGCATAAATTCAAAATAATTGAAAAATAGTGTTTTTAATAGAAAAAATAAGTATGAAGAAAGTCTAAATTATTCCTATTTATGACTAACACCACCTATAGTTTTCAACGCAAGTCAGCCGTATTAAAAAAAATTTCGCTAATATAAACATAATTTTTTTTAATTCCTTAGAAAATACAGTTTTGGAAGTATTCAATTTTCATTGGATATTATTGAATTTTTATGAAGAATTTTGCCAAGAACATTTTCTTCTTCACGTGATTTTATAAGATGAAATTTTTTGTAGGGAATTTTACCCCCACGAGTTGATTTAAAGCTTTATGTAGGAAGCTATCATCTTTACCGTGTCACAAAATTTAATTTTAGGATTTTTCACCTCCATGGGATTTTTCACCTCCATTTTATATAGCGACTTATTGCCTTCAGACTATTATACAACTTTATAGAGTTTTTATTACCTTTCCAGAATGTTTTAAAATTTTGTTTCGAGATTTTTCGCCTTCGTAAGATTTAAAAACAAAAATATTCAAGGATTTTTTAATCGTCGTAGGTTATTGTAAATTTTTTTTTATGTTTTTTTTCTCTTTCATCCAGTGATAGTGCAATGATCTTATAAAATACTTTGTAGAGACATTTTACTTTTATAGAATGTTATAAAATTTTGTATTGAGATTTTAAATCTTCATCGAATAATGTTATAAAATTTTATGTATAAGTTCTTTCTTCCTTATATGGGTAATTTTGTGCTTATTATAAAACTTTATGCTTGAATTTCATGGAAATTTTTCCTATTTAAGACACAATTGACTATTAAGACACAATTGGACACAATTATTGAAATTTACTCTTTTGAAAGTTTTATGCATTATAAGAGTTGCCTTTGCGAGAAATTTATCAAATTTTATATTGGAATTTTTCACCTTCAGAGGATGTTATAAACTTTGATATAGAGTTTTTTTCCGTGTTGTTTGGTTTTATAAAAAGCTTTTTAATACCTTAGAATCTTTAGAACCTTTAATACCCTAATACAGATCGGAATTTAAATTATAAGATATAAAAAAATATGCTGCAAGTCACAAAGAAAAATCACGAACAAAGTAATAATGCATGGTAATTATACAAGATAAGAAATAATATAAAATTTATTTATAAAACTAAACTTACTATTACTTTCTTTGGAACTTTCTTTAGAACTGCTTCTAGATTTTACAGCTGAAGCATCCACATGTGAATCCAATAAAAAGATACCCATAGCTAAGCACAACACTGTGCCTGGAACAAGTAAATATTTATATACATTTTGCAGAATGTATTATTGAACATGTTCACTAAGCACCATTATTAAAAATTGTAAGTTTTAGTTTTTCAATAAAATTTTTCGGTAAGTAGAATATATTAATCATTAATTTAGAAATATTAGCTTGTAGAAAGTAACATTTTATCTTGAAAAGTTGAAGATATATTCATAAATTAAAAGTTGAGTATTTTAAACTGATTTTTACTTTATAATTTTTTTTAAGGGCAATAACATGCTATATGATATTTATGTAAATTTAAAGGAATAAATTTTTTTAATATATGGAAACATAAGGAAGTAGCAAAACACTTTTTTACATATCGAGGAAACCACTTTATTTGGATGTTTGGTTGAACAAATTGTCTTACAGAACTGTTCGTTAATACCAACGCCGATATATATTTTTAAAATTAGTGTCAAAAGTAAATTAAATTAAAGTATGTGCATGAGGGGTCGCAAATAAATATACCGGAAAAAATTGCTGCACCATCCTGATACTGTGTAACCTGACAATGAGTCCACGCCAAATCCTGACGGGATATGGAATCACAGATTGTAGCTGGAAGGCATTTGGAACAAATTCATACTGACTGTGAATCCCGCAGGCTTACAAAATCAATATATCGTGCTGGTTATCTCTTCGGAATTGCACTTTGCAAGAGCACGCTAAATGATCTTCCACGCCTGCAGATTCAGGTGTTCAGTCTAAAGTCAGAAGACAATGCTCCTGTGTAGCTACTCTCAACGTGTAGAGGTGTCTCATTGTTCATCTGGTCTCGTGAAACTCCTTCGGACATCGAAATGAGCATGAATGGGCAGAGATTATTGAATAGAATACTTAACTACCAGTCAGAGACATATCAGGGATTTCATATTCTGGTAATTGCATTTTCACCTTATCACGAAGAGGTTCCACTAACCTGAGCATTTGCTTTTTGACATGAAAGATACAGGAATTCATAACGATAACTTCATATTTATGCACGTACATCCATTCGATACAGTTTGAAGCGAGACTCGCCAGTCCAGACAACGTGTTTTTAGCTAGCCAACAACAGTCAGTCCAATAGATGAGTCCCATATTAATAATGTTTCCTTGAATAGTTCAGCCACAGACACTTGCTGATGTCCTCAGCATTGAAATAACTGACAGTTTGAGGAAGGGATATATGTCCGCCACTCTTAATGCTTCTCATCAACCGTCGATGGTGTCATTCTTTCTTTACAATCGATCCAACTGCAAAGATGATCCAAATTTCTTCGTGTTTTACCGAATTTCTGACATTCATGGTTGACTTATAAAATGGTCTTCTTAGATAACTTCAAAATTCTTATGTATTTTTAACAAGAAAAAAAAAATTTCAAAGATGTCTATGAATTTATTTTTTAAATTTTTCCAGTCACATATTTATTGTTTTGTGTAGTCCTAGAGAAGTGTCCGGTCTTATACTGCAATGTCTGTTACCTAAGATAATCATTTTTAAAATTACTTAGTAAATGATACTACCATCTTTTAAATATTGCTTTCAATGATTGAATATGTTGGAATAATCATTTTAAAAAACAATCTAGTGATACTTTTGAAGATTTTTGGATTTTCGAAGCGTTGTGAATTCTTTTTATGTCATCCAGACGGTTACCAATATTTTAAATGTAATTAGTAAAGCTTTATTAACTACTTGTCAAATGCAAATAAAGTCCTATGTACCATATTTGAGCCATGATGTCTTAATACTTGATGATAACAATTGAAGCATGCGGAAGAGTGAATGCTAATCACCAACAATGATCAATTTTGATGTAATTTTTGAAACGATTTTATTTTTAAAAATACCTAATATCTGAAAATCACCTTTTGTCACTAATTCCGTTGCAATACCAACTTTGCAATTATTTGTTGAAATGCAAAGTGCTTAACTGAGATTTTAAGGTTGACGCAGGTATGATATTCTTTCAGAATCTTGCTCTTTTAGAATTTTGGAGATAACAGTAAAAAGAATCAATTTCTGTGAATGATTTATTTAATATTGTAATTTTGTTTGGTCTTTATGCAATTGTTTTCTATTGATGCATATTTTATAATTTTTTTTAATTCCATGGCTCGTGAAAGGCACTGATCTTCAGATTTCTATTCAAGGAATTAAGGATAATGTGACACTATGTCAAAAATTGATTATTTAAGTTGGGTTCAGAATTTCAAAATCTAAGTCTCGCATCTGATCTATCATTTGTAAAAGTTAAACGAGCATACAAAATTTGAAAATGAAGCGTAAAATAATAAATAGAAAAAAAATATTTAACATGTTCATTCTTTCTTCTGTTCCTTCAAATATTTCCTTAAAATGTTCTTTAAATGTTCGTTCTTAAAGATGTTTATTTAAATTGGGTTCTGGGACCCAAAATATTATTCTCGTATCTAATATATCATTGACAAAATGTAAACAATTTTCCAAATTTTGAAAATGATGCTTAAAATAATGAATATAAATTTTTTTTTAAATGTTTGTTCTTAGAAAACAAATTCATTAAAAAATCATACATCCGATTTCAATAAAATCAAAGCTTAATGATTTACTTTTAGCCAATGATATTTTAAATAAAAGACAGCAATTATTAGTAATATGAATAGTTTAATTTGATAGTTCTATTTAGAAAATATTTACACTGCTTGAACAAAATGTTTTCAGCTTTTTAATACATTTCAAATTCTAAAACTAAAAAAAGTTCTGCTACATAGTGTTCGTACTATTAAGAAATAAATACTTAAATATTTAATATTATACATAAAGTATTTTTAAAAAAAATCGAATTAGGTTTTTAAAGTTTTTTTCTCTCCAGTTTTCCAGTACATTATTTGCAGATGTCTGTATTTTATTATGTGATCAAATCTTTCGTGTAGTGTATTGAATTTTTTTATCAAAAACCTAATTTTTTAAGTGAAAATTAAGTAAAATACATCTAAACATAAGTATGCTTACCGCGAATTAGTTTCGATTTCATGTATTCGTGCATATTCGACTCGATCTTTCAAAAGTTGTTATTCTAAAATGAACAAATTATTTTCAATCACGATGAATATCAATACTTGAAAATAAATTAAAAAAAAAGAAGTCTAATTTCATGATAAAGATAAGAAACAATACTTACACGCTTCCACATATTTGAAAAACAGATTTTAAATTTTTATCTTTATTCTTGTGAAATACATTTATTGAAACAAACTGTTTGATTAAGAAAGCCATCAACTTGAAAACACAAGAAAACTGTAATTGAGAATGAGATATGAGGAAGAGGAATAAAAACAAATCTATTCTTAGATGAAAAGAAATTTCTATTGATCCCTAATGAGATATATATTTTATGTATCTCGACATTATTTCTTGCAACGTGATTTATTTACTATCTTTGAATTCAATTGACGCAATCAAAATCTGCACTTCAAATTATTTTTTTTAAAAAAAAGATTGACACAGTTATCTTATGCGGAAATGTAAGATTTTTTTTCTTCCAATTTTGCTTTTCATAAAATTATTACTAATCACATTTTTAACAAATTATTAAAAAACTAAGTCCCATTTTAAAGGTTTAAAATACTTTAAAAAATACGAGTTAATAATTGAGAGTCCTTGAATATTATAATTTTTGAATTATTAATTAACTATTAACATATGAGAGGTAGCCTCTATCTAGAAAATAGAATCTTAGTTGTCGGAAAAGCTACGTTATTTTTGTAGTTTGCTACAACTAATATTATTTTATTACGAATGCACTCCAGTAGTACATTAGGTAACATCAGAAAACCAGAAAATATAAAGTTATTTTGTATAATTTTAGAATATTAGAAAGATATAAATATTTTATATCTTTCTATATCTTTCATATCTTTCTATTTATTAAATTTTATTTATTTTTGTAGTTTGCTACAACTATTAGTATTTTATTACAAATGTTTCCAAGTATGTCTTTATGTATGTGTTTTGTTTAAAAATTTGGCCTTTTATTTTAGAAATCATTTGGAGAAATAGGCTGTGGTTTTTTCATAATTGTTCTTTATATTTTTTGCCACAAATGATTTACATAAGTTGTAATTATAGTTTCATAATTTCTATCAAAAACCACCAAAATTTCTTTTATGATTTAAAGTAGATAAATTAATAAAGTAAATGAAAACCAAGGGGAAAGAACAGTTTATGTTCATTTTTCACAAAAATGACAATTGGATGAGCACCTCTCTTGTCTTGAGGATTACTGAGTGTTGACAAATCAATTATGCGAAAAATTGTTATTAGCTTTGAGTTATTATACCTTTTTTCTTCGAATCAACTCTTACGAGCATAAACCGTTTTTCTACTGAGTTTTTCAAGTATTAAAAGAAAGAATAAAACTATTGAAGTGAAATTTTTCAAAGTTCTGAGAAATGCATCGTATGCTTAAAATAAACAAATTAGAAATTAAAAGGAGGATGAAAGAAAGGGTAAAAATGATTTTCAGCAAAATACAATTAAAACTGAAAATGTTATTACTACACATTAATTTATTAAAAGTTTAGACAAGTACAGATGGGTGAAAAATTACTAGAACACGTTTGTATTAACTTTATAAAAATAATCATTCTTTTAACAGGAAACGTTTTTGAAAACAATTGGTATAATTTAAAAGACTATGATTGAAGCTTTTAGAAATGGTGTCGTTTTTACCCATTGAACATTCGGATAGACCAAAATGAGGAGATGGAAGTTAATAACTTCTTTGCAGCTTTAATACCAAAAATTTTCAAAGCTTTCTATGGGGATGTGGTACTTACATGTGAATGCTTTTAGAATTATCGTGTTAAAAAAAAAAGGAAAGGAGTTTTAAATTTCCTATGCTCATTTTGTCCTAAAAAGTTTGAATCATGATCCTTCAAATTGAACGAAAAAAATCTCTTATTACGTAATAAATTTTAAAAAAAAGCTTTTTTTTTCGCATTATACTGCGTAACGCAAGTTCTTATTCGTTCAGAATACACTAATTTCGGACCACACTTCTTCACAAACGGTTTCCAATTCTTACAGAAAATGAAGAGCTTATTGCTACTTGGATGGCGATGGGCACCAACTGCCTCTGGGCATTCAAACCATGCAAAGATCTCGCTAGTTTCTTTACTGATGCAATCCAAATCATCCTTATCACAATCTGCTTCGGGTGGTCCAGTTGGTTTTGGAGTTGGAGTGGATTAATAATTGGAGTGGTAAGTGGTAAGGGTTGGTCATTCGTCAGGGAATCAAAGAAAAAAAATTATTTAAAAAAATGTGCAATAAACTCCCAAAATAACTTGTTTTTAAATAAATTTCTGATGTCATCTTTTACATAGTTGGAAAGAAACTCAAAATTTCCCCTTGCACCCATTATCCAAATTTTAGGATCCTAGTATGAACCGTTCAGGGGAGCTATGAGTGAAACACAAAGATACTCGCACAAACTTTCATTTATTAGTACAGCATAGATATTGAATTCTGCAGCAAATATTTTTGTAATAAACACTTATTATATTAAGATTTATTTATATAAAGGGCAGCATTTTTGATTCTTTTTACATAACTATGAACCAAAAAACCAAGTATTACTTCAACGTAATAAAATAAAATAAAATAAAATTAAGTAAAATTAAATTAAAACAAAATAAAATAAAATCTTTCTTTTTCTTCATCTTAAGGCCTAACGCAAGTTCTCATTTGTTCAGAATACACTGATTTTTGACCACACTTCTTCACAAGGGGCTTCCAATTCTTACAGAAAATGAAGAGCTTATTGCTACTTGGATGGCGATAGGCTCCAATTGCTTCTGGGCATTCAAACCATACAGAAATATCACCAGTTTCTTTAATGATGCAATCCAAATCATCCTCATCACAATCTGTTTCAGGTGGCCCAGTTGGTTTTGGAGTTGGAGTGGTTGGCTGTGCAGTGGTGGGTGGGGTAGTAGTTGGTTGTATAGTGGTGGGAGGGATGGTGGTTGGCTGTGTAGTGGTAAGTGGTGTGGTGGTTGGTTGTGTAGTGGTGGGTGGGGTGGTGGTTGGCTGTGTAGTGGTGGGCGGGGTCGTGGTTGGCTGTGGAGTGGTTGGTGGGGTGCAGGTGGTTGTAGTAGGTTCTGGTGTTGTTGGTATGGGAGTTGTACCGACTGTGGTTTCACCTAAATTTATAAAAAAAATTATTGTTTCATTTTTTATAAGATAGATGTTACACAATTTTGTTACATTATAAAAGAAATCACCTTCACCTGCCATGAGAGAATTACCAGATCATACGGAATTTCATGACCTACTTTACTCTCTATCATCTATAAGCATACATTCTATTTGTTATCGCAACTGTTATAATTTTACTATATTAAATTAGACCAACGATGGCTAACTGAGACGATAAAAAAATCGTAAGTACTAAATAAAATATTATTTTTAATTTGTGTTATTTTTTTCCTCCATGTTGTGAAGCTTTTTAATGTTCAATAAAAATAATAATAAAAAAATGCATGGGTTTAGAGACTTAGCTGTATTAGTTCATTTGAAAATTGCCTAATTATCCCCAAAAATAGATTGAATTTGGTATTTTTATTTATGGACAATTTATAATTTAGTATAGAGTAGTATGTTCTTTTTGAATTGCAACATGTTACATAATTTAAGAGCAACCATGGCTCAGTGGTATCAATGTGTAGATCTGGGATTCTATCCATGGCAGCAGTTTAAAGCCCGCATATATTCAGATCGATGGGAACCAGCTCTTCAAAGAAGTAAATCTGACCACACGTCCAAAATCATGGCTTTGGTCACAAAATTATGTAACTGTAGTCTGATATCTTTGACCCCTCTTGCCAGAGAAAGCTTTTTACATACCTAATAGGTAGCTTTTAAGATAGGTATATAGTTTATATTAAAAATATTAATAACTATCGTTAATAGTGGAATTTCTTTTTGCAAGAATGGAAGTAGATGGAAGAGGATTGTCTAAGATTTGTAAATGTATAGCGTAGAAAAAAGCCTCTAATATGTACCTGACGCAACATTTATCTTAAAATCTTTTTATGATTAGTGATGCCACACGAATGTTATGTATATATATGTAACTTCTAAAATAATAGCTTAATTAAAAGGATCTTAAAACTAAACTTAAAAAGAATTATATTTTAACTGCAGACTTGCCTTTCCATATATATACATATGTGTGTAAACACGTTAATGTTAATTTATAATCAATGGTAAATTAGCAAAAAAGAAGCTAAAATCTACTAAAATGAAAAATTAATGGATAGAACAACTCATTATTTTTCTATACTACTCCGTTTCCTCGTAATTTTGAACCCAATCCAGAAGACAAGTGAGTGTGGGAACAAGCATTTGGCGGCGGACTAGCCTTTGTGGAAGACAATTTTCATGGCTATACCATCACTCCGAAAGGAATAAATAAAGTAGAAAATTGCTTGCCTGTCGTAAATTTTGACTGTTATGAGTTGGCTTCAAGCAACAGCGTTATGAAAAATGATTTTAAATAATTGGAAGAACACGTAATATTAAATTTTAAAAAAAGTTGGAATTATTTAGTTTTGTTTATTGCATCAGTATATGCTTAGTCTTGTACATGATTTTGTAATGTTTATTAATACCGTTACCGTTTCTTATAGTTTTCTCTTTCTCCCCACTATAAGAAAAACGGGTATTAAGTTAGTACATTCTATAAAATGAGAAATAGGAATTTGATTAGTGCAAAGAAAAAATATGTATTGAATTTGATAAGAACTCACCACTTCTGTCATGACACACAGCAAAATTGAATGGAAGACTGAACAATATCCAATTTAAAAAATATGTTTTTCTGATAATAGAANCCCAATCCAGAAGACAAGGGAACTGAGGGCTATACTACTCCCCTCCAAAGGAATAAATATCGTAGAAAATTTTTCGCCTGTCGTAAATTTTAACTATTATGAGTTGGTTTTAAGCAACAGCGTTATGAAAAATGATTCTATATATAGTTTATTTTCTTTTTAATGTGGAGAACGTCTAGAAAAAAAAAGAATTTTTTTTTTTGTATTTAATAACGTTACATCACCAGTAAGAAGAACAAATAATAACAAATTTTAAGAAAATGGAATTATTAAGTTTTTCAGCAGTATATACTTAGTCTTTTGCATTAATTTGTAATTTTTATTAATACTGTTTCATTGTTAGTTTGCTCTTTTTCCTCCCTATAAGAAAAACGGGTATTTACCTAGTATATTCTATAAAATGAGAAATAGGAATTTGATTAGTGCAATGAAAAAATATGTAGGAAGACAAATTGTGTCCAACATTATTCAATTTGAAAAAAAAAGCTTTTTTTCTGATTAAAAAAAATAAGCAATGCTATAGTATTTGAAAAAAAAAAATAAAGTTGTTCATTTTTAGAAATAACATTCGAGAAAAATATATGTATACTTCATTGAATAATAAAAGCATACTCGCTTCATTGCTAAATATTATAAAATATTTAGTCCTTAGTTATTTCGTAGGGGCACCTTAGCAAGATGAGAACTAAAAAGATCCCGTAATATAATTTACCTCATGGCTCCTCAAAGTCTAGCGACATGGAATTAGAGTAAATATTGTAAATATTTGTATGATTTCTGGAAAAAAAAAAACTCTTCCATTACTTGTCGGTCTTTTCCTTGATCCACAGTTCACTTCCTTTTCTGGTTTGCACTTTCCGTCAACTTTGCAATCATGGACTCCGTCAAAAAGAAAATTCTTTCCACATGTTCCCAAACGTGGAAAACCGAAAACGCACATGTAGTACTTGGAACAGTCATTTGGATGAGGTAAAATTCCTGCGAAGCATGGACACTTGAATGAATCATCTGAAACATACAGAAAACACGCTATTTACCTTAAAAGAATATTTTATAAAAGTTGTGCATGGCATTTATACAAAAAACTATTTATTGATCAAGTTTTGTTTAAAAATTTGATTTCAAATTTTTTCAGAAACTATATTAACAGTTTTAAACTAATTCATCTGTTCTCGTTTGTATAAAAAGTCATGTTTCGTTTTTATTTATTCTTATTGCATCAACGACAATAACATTGATAATATAGCTGAAGCTTTTATTGTTCTAATTTCGGTATTTAGTTGGAAAATTCTGTACAATAACGTATTTTTTGTCGGGATTGATAGAATATAGTGGTTTAATCAAGTCTGTGGCTCGGGTGTATCTAAAATGACTATTTATTTGAAAAAGAATAAAAAAGAAAACAAAATTAAAGCAGATAGATATGTAAGATATGATTTTTTCTGATCTGAATGCAAGATAAATATTTTCACAAAAACTCAAAACTGGTAGTTAAGCAATTTGATGATGGATGGCGCTGCCTTTTGAAAAAAATAAATAATTTAGAAAACCCATATAGTCTGAAGTGTAGCGAGTAGAATGCATTCTTTTAGTTTTCACCCTGCCAGCAGTGCCACCTGGTAACGAATTTTGTAATTAGTCTAAGAGTTATCGATAATAAAGGAAAAAAATTCTGGTTTACTAGAAATAAATGAGTAAATCGTATGACTTTCTGATATTCATTAATTGTTTTCTTAAATCACCGATAATTGTTTGGGACATTCCTTATCGAAATAGCACGTGATACAACAAAAGTTAGTCTCTCCGCATGGAAGAAGAGTTGTATAAAGTTAAGTACAGGTGACGCTTGTGATTAAAATTCGTAATAAGACATGCGGGTTACTTTTTACTATAAATTTTTCGCATAAATTTCCCATCATCCTGCACCTTAATCGTCCTTTTTCTGTTTACAATATGACTTGTTCTATTTAATTATTATTGTATTAGGGTTAAAATCTCTGCTGCCTCGGTAATTCTATACAAGCAAAACGATTCCGTATCTTATTTGTATCTAAAAAATAAACTTTCCATTAGCATAAATTCAAAATAATTGAAAAACAGTGTTTTTAATCGAAAAAATAAGTATGAAGAAAGTCTAAATTATTCCTATTTATGACTAGCACAACCTATAGTTTTCAACGCAAGTCAGCCGTATTAAAAAAAATTTTCGCTAACATAAACATATTTTTTTTTAATTTCTTAGAAAATACAGTTTTGGAAGTATTTAATTTTCATTGGATATTATTGAATTTTTACAAAGAATTTTGCGAAGAAAATTTTCTTCTTCACGTGATTTTATAAAATGTAATTTTTTGTAGGAAATTTTACCCCCACGAGTTGATTTAAAATTTTATGTAAGAAGCTATCATCTTCACCGTGTTACAAAATTTAATTTTAGGATTTTTCACCTCCATAGGATGTTTAAAGTTTTATATAGGGACTTATCGCCTTCAGGCTATTATACAACTTTATAGAGTTTTTATTACCTTTCCAGAATGTTTTATAATTTTGTTTCGAGATTTTTCACTTTCGTAAGATTTAAAAACAAAAATATTCAAGGATTTTTTAATCGTCGTAGGTTATTTTAAAATTTTTCGTATGGTTTTTTTTCTTTTTCATCCAGTGATAGTGCAATGATCTTATAAAATACTTTGTGGAGACTTTTTACTTTTATAGAATGTTATAAAATTTTGTACTGAGATTTTTAATCTTCATCGAATAATGTTATATAATTTTAAGTATAAGTTTTTTCTTCCTTAATTGGGTAATTTTGTGCTTATAATGAAATTTTATGTTTGATTTTTATGAAGATTTTTCCGATTTAAGAGATTGGAATTGGATACAATTATTGAAATTTACTCCTTTGAAAGTTTTATGCATTAAAGGGGTTGCCTTTGCGAGAAATTTATCAAATTTCATATTGCAATTTTTCTCCTTCAGAGGAGGCTATAAACTTTGATATAGAGTTTTTACCCCGTGTTTTTTGGTTTAATAGAAAGCTTTTTAATACCTTAGAATCTTTAGAACCTTTAATACCTTAATACAGATCGGAATTTAAATTATAAGATGTAAAAAAAATGTGCTGCAAGTCACAAAGAAAAATCACGAGAAAAGTAATAATGCAAGGTAATTATACAAGATAAGAAATAATATAAAATTTATTTATAAAACTAAACTTACTATTACTTTCTTTGGAACTTTCTTTAGAACTGCTTCTAGATTTTACAGCTGAAGCATCCACATGTGAATCCAATAAAAAGATACCCATAGCTAAGCACAACACTGTGCCTGGAACAAGTAAATATTTATATACATTTTGCAGAATGTATTATTGAACATGTTCACTAAGCACCATTATTAAAAATTGTAAGTTTTAGTTTTTTAATAAAATTTTTCGGTAAGTAGAATATATTAATCATTAATTTAGAAATATTAGCTAGTAGAAAGTAACATTTTCCCTTGAAAAGTTGCAGATATATTCATAAATTAAAAGTTGAGTATT